GAAAGAGTGAAGGGAGAGTCTGGCCTGGGATGTAGTTGAGCTCAAAGAGTCATTTTCTAAACAAAATGGAAACTAATGCTATGGCTTCTGCCAAGAAAACTGATGAAAAGTGTTTCAAAATAAATGTCTAAAGAATACTTTTTAGAAATAAAGATGTTACTGTCTGTCTCCTTGGGAATGAAAAGCTCTTATCTAAAAAAGTACATTTGTAAGAAACAAACTCAAACAACCACATATCACGATAAAGCAACTTAAAAGGACAATACTAGAAAGAAAAACCAAAGGTTCATCTGCACATGGAATCGTTCATCGAACGTATAACCCTAAGGACTTCGCTGCACTGCTATACCTCAATTAAAAAGCTTAAATAATTAGTACTAGCACTTTACACATTTCTAATCAGAAATTCTGAAAAGAAAAAAGCACTGGTTTCAAGAATACAAAATAAAGTTGTGATGAGGGGGGCTCTGGGAGGCAAGAATGAGACTACAGGGTGAAGGGTGGGTTCTGTGAGAAGACAGGAGAGAAGAACTCAAAACCTGGGGAAAGAACCCCAGGACAGGGGGTGGGGTGGGGGCCTGGAGAGAGGGGCGGAGCACCTGAGGGCCAAGAATGGGAAAAGGACTCTGGAAAGAGTGAGATGCTTAAGATGGAGGGCCAGTATGAAATCACGGAGGGGAGTTCTGTAGGAAGACAGAAGGAGTGAGGGAGATCTCGAGGGCGAAGGATGGGATCCTGCGGGCAAAGGCCTCTGTGGGAAGATCCGAGAGGAGATAACGAGGGACAGGATTGGGAATCCAGAATGGATTGGAAATCCAAGAATGGAACCCTGGAGGGAGAGGGTGTCTAGAAGATGGGGGCGGAGAACCCCTAAGGCCTGCGACCCGACTTACTTTCTCCGCTGGACTTGCACTGCTTTAAACACATCTTCCCGTTTCAGCACCACGAAGTCGCCGTCGCGGATGCGGTGGTCCCCGGGATGCGGTGGCCGTGGGCCCGGTTGCTCCTCAGAGGCCTCCATGACGCTCAGCCGGTCTCCGAGCTCAGCAGCGTCTCTCCAGTTCCCTGCGCTCTGCCCCTGGCCCTGGGTTGTAGCCGCTGGCAGCCTCACCTCCCACAAACCAACAGAACTCAAAGCCCTCCGACCGGCACCGCCCCCACGTGCTGCGCGCCGCTTCCGCTTTCCGGTAAGAACCTCAGAACGGCTTCCGGAAGCCTCAAGGCTTCCGTCAGGCCGACCTCTTTGATTGGCTGCCCTCCGTCACGCCCCTCCGGTCTCGCCGCAGCTTCGGGCGGAAGTTGCGTCACAGAAGCGCCAAAAAAGAACTTGGAAAACTGAGATTTGGTTAGCCGTGCTGTTGCGGCGCTGTGCTCTAGACATTTTCCGGCTCCGCTGTGCGGCCTCGGTGGAGAAGCTGAGGTCCCCAAGCCGCTGCTGCAGACAAGCCTCGATCCCGCGCGGGGACGTCGGGAGAGCTGAGGGTGAAGAGTCTGCGGGGCTTGGGCAGGGACACCTGAGGAGCTCGGACCGCGGAGTTTCCTCTCCTTCCCCCCGAGAGGAAGAAGGGAGAACCAGCCCAGCCATGAACTAAGAGAGTTTTGGGACCTCCATCTTTTGCAAGTAAGAACTTAGTCTTGAGGAGACGTAAATGAAGTGAGGTATTTAACCAAGCATAGAAGCCCGACGGGTGGCTTTTACCCATTCTCCAGTCCTACCTCTTGCATTTATGTTGGAATTTTTACTAGTTGTACTCACCATATTACCTCGTTTGAAAAGGATACGGCACGTAGCATTGTCGAAGGAGCACTTCAGCTTGGGAATGTGGAGATGAAGTTTGAGCTCAGTACTGTCAACAGACAACTTTGATCTTGATCAGTTCGCTTAATTTCTCTGGTCTTCAGTTTCTTAACGTATGGTGTGGTCTAGATGATTATCAAAGCCCTGTTAGTGCCCATAACATGAACTTATTAACTTATTTACTAATTTAAATCGCTTTAAATAAAGATGCGGATACGCTGTCTTGTAATGAATTGCACTACAGTCTATGGATATATTCTTATTTATTTTTATTCTTAGGATATGAACTGTTTTATTGAGGTATAGTTGATTTATAATGTTATGTTAGTTACAGGTGTACAACATAGTTATTCAACTTTTATAGGTTATACTTCGTTTAAATATTTTTGTGGGGGCTGTGTTGGGTCTTAGTTGCGGTGCGACGGCTCTTCGTTGTGGTGCGCAAGCTTCTCTCTAGTTGTGGCGTGCGTGTTTTCTCTTCTTTTCAGTTGTGGCGCGCGGGTTCCAGAGCGTGTGGACTGTGTAGTTTGTGGCATGCAGGCTCTCTAGTTGAGGTGCGTGAGCTCAGTAGTTGTGGCGTGGGGGCTTAGTTGCCCTGCACCATGTGGAATCTTAGTTCCCTGACCTGCGCCATGTGGAATCTTAATTCCCTGACCAGGGATCGAACCCGCGTCCCCTGCCTTGGAAGGCAGATTCTTTACCACTGGGCCACCAGGGAAGTCCCTATTTTTAATTTCTTGAGGAAGCTCCACACTGTTTTCCATACTGGCTACACCAATTTACATTCCTACCAACAGTGTACTAGGGTTCCCTTTTCTTCACATCCTCCCCTACATTTATTATTTGTTGTGTTTTTGACGATAGCCATTATGACAGGTGTGAGGTGATATCTCATTGTGGTTTTGATTTGCATTTCTCTGATGATTAACGATGTTGAGCATCTTTTCATGTGCCTCTTGGCCATCTCTAAGTCTTCTTTGGAAAAATGCCTGTTCAAGTCCTCTGTTCATTTTTTGGATATTGAGTTGTACGAGTAAACTCTTTTCTTCGGCAGACTTTACTTTTTAGAATAGTTGTAGGTTTACAACTATTGTAAAAATTGCACAGAAAGTACAGAGTTCCCATATAGGTCCTCTTCCCTTCCCCCACCCCCAGTTCCCCCATTATTAGCATCTTGCATTAGTGTGATACATTTGTTGCAATTGATGGACCAAAATTGATACATTGTTGTTAACATCCATAGTTACATTAGGATTCACTCTTTTTGTTGTATAGTTTCGTGGGATTTGACAGATGCATGATTTCATGCCCACCCTTACAGTATCATACAGTATGGTTTCACTGCCCTGTGCTCTACTTATATGAATTATTTTAAAACCAATTAAAAAAAATTTTTTTGTCTGTGTTGGGTCTTCGTTGCTGTGTGCAGGCATTCTCTAGTTGCAGCGACCGTTGTGGTGTGCAGGCTTCTTATTGCGGTGGCTTCTCTTGTAGAGCACAGGCTCTAGGCACGCGGGCTTCAGTACTTGTGGCACATGGGCTCAGTAGTTGTGGCTTGCGGGCTCCAGAGCGCAGGCTCAGTAGTTGTGGCACACAGGCTTAGTTGCTCCGCAGCAGGTGGGATCTTCCAGGACCAGGGCTTGAACTCGTGTCCTCTGCATTGGCAGGCGGACTCTCAACCACTGCGCCACCAGGGAAGCCCCTTAAAACCCATTTTTAAAGATCACTTATATATTGATTTATTGCTTTTCAACCAAGAACTGTCTTATGGGTTTGAGTTTAATAAAAATGAGTCTTGGGAATTCCCTGGTGGTCCAGGGGTTAGGACTCAGCGTTTTCACTGCGGTGGGCCCGGGTTTGATCCCTGATCAGGGAACTAAGATCCTGCAAGCCGCACGGCGTGGCAAAAAATAATTTTTTTTTTTAAATGAGTATCTCACCATGTACAAAGTAGAAAAAAGCAGGAAGGGATAATTAGCCCCCAAAATGATATTAACAAATATGGATATGCTTTCAGAAAAACTTTATTGCATTTCAACAAATTTATCTAAAAATTGCAAATAACCCATCTGTCAGTATTGGCCTAGAAATGATCTTGCTTTCATTGTCGTTTTAACACAGTCGTTCTAAATCTGGAAAATTAACTGCTTTTCCATTTTGGCCCCTACAGGAAAAGAAAGGTTGAAACATGTATGTACCCGTCCCACTCCTGTGCTTCCCCAGAAAGATCTGTCTTAGATACCTATGTAAGAATATCCAGGGAGTTCCCTGGTGGTCTGGTGGTTAGGATTTGGTGCTTTCACTGCCGTGGCCTGGGTCGGGAAACTGAAATCCCACAAGCCATGCAGTGTGGCCAAAATTAAAAAAATAAATTAATTTAAAAAAAAGGATATCCATGTATCTCTGATAAAAGTGGATATGGCACAGCTGGATTGTCTATATATAAGGAGCTATGATGATATATTCCTAATGTCACAGGTCAGGATAATGTTCAGACAGTGCTGCCCTGTAATAAGTCTCACCACACTACAGAGGTATCTTAGAGTTAATTACCTGTCTTATTTTCATTTCTATTGTGGGAGTTCCATGAAAACAGGTATGGTACCTTTTCTTATACCTTTTCTTATTTTTATCCCATGACAAAAATAAGAAAAGGCATAAGCATCAGTATACTTGGTTAAACATCTGTGGTAGGCCTTAAAAAGAGATGAGGATTAGAAGAATTACTGCAGAGTGTTTGGGGTTTGTACCATGCTGTGCAACATTGCTGGTCTCAAACTAGTATATATATTAATTTTTCTTATTTTCTATGTTAATACATTTTTAGGAGCACTATTTCTCCTGTAGTTTTGATGAGGACTTCCTAATCTCTATCTTTTAAAAGACATGAATGGAAAGTACAGAGGCAGAGGATTTGGACGGGGAAGATTTCAAAGCTGGAAAAGAGGAAGAGGTGGTGGGAGCTTCTCAGGAAAATGGAGAGAACTAGAGCACAGACCTGACCTGAATAAAGCCACAGGAAAACATCCTGGTAGGGGAGGCCAGCGGTAGTGCAATATTTTTTTCCTTCGTGAAGGAATCTGTTCATGCCTGTCATGAAAAGCAGTTTAACTCAAATTTGTCTTTTATCTGACATTACCCTTAAAGTAATATTTGGATGTTAATATCCAAAATTCTTACTGAAATCTGTAACTTAGATATTCTATTAATAGCATGTCAGGGTCTCATTGTATAAGGAGAAGCAAATAGGAAAAAAAAATGTTCTGTTTCTATTAACCTAGTATTCTGTTTTTGTGGTTTTGTTTGTTTTTTCAGAACAAACCCCACAGTCTTTGCTACTACAATCAACGTTGGATCAATTCATACCATATAAAGGCTGGAAGCTTTATTTGTCAGAAGGTAGAGTTAAAAGTGCAAAAAGTACCATAAGTCTTATTTTCTTTAACATTTTTTGGATGCTACATCTCATATTACTGCTCATTTGGTTTATATATGTATATATATATATATATATATATACATGTATCCCCTCTTCTTTAATCTTAGTTCACCCAAACAATTGAATTATGTTTCTGTTTCAAGAGCATAATTTTTCATTTTTCTATAAGTCAGAAAAACAAACCACACTAGGTATTTCAGAAAGAGGATTTAATACAGGGAATTGGGTATACAGATAGAAGACTGAAAGAGCAAAAAGGGAACACTGAGGTAAACTCCCAGGTAGTGTTAACTTTGGAAAGCAACAACCACCCTTATGCCTAAGGGAACAAAAGATAAGTAGTGCTGAGGTTATCAGAACCTAAGAATTGAAAGGAGGAGCTACAGCATAGCTGTGGCTTTGACCTTTGAGGGGCACCCCACAAAGCTGTGCTTGGACCTCTGAAGGATATCTTTCAGAGCTGTGCTCAGACCACCGAGGCGAATTAAGCAGGTTGCTGCTGGTAATTCTGGCAGGAGAGTGGCATGGTTGGTGCTTAGAGCTGGAGGCTAGAACTGTAGCTATCCTCTGTAGCTGGAGAGATACTGAAAAGAATTGGAAACAAGAATAAATTCCTTCCTTCCTGCCACCTTCCAGTCTCTAAAGTTGCTTCTAATTGTCAGAATCTTACAGGAGTCTGGGAAATTCCATGTGCAGATCTTTTTTTTTTTTTTGCGATACGCAGGCCTCTCACCGTTGTGGCCTCTCCCGCTATGGAGCACAGGCTCCGGACGCGCAGGCCCAGCGGCCACGGCTCACGGGCCCAGCCGCTCCGCGGCATGCGGGATCCTCCCAGACCGGGGCACGAACCTGTGTCCCCTGCATCGGCAGGCGGACTTTCAACCACTGCGCCACCAGGGAAACCCCCATGTGCAGATCTTGATCGAAGAATCACAAAGCTGAAAATAGAATAGGCTTGGAATCAAGAGACAACAGCCAACACAGTTTGTGTAGAAACATAGTTAAGGAATCTCCTTTTTG